ATGATATATCGTATTAAAAAATGAATGTACATATGTTAAATTTAGGATGCACTAGTCCAGCTGTTTCAGTTTATATATATTTATCAAGGCTGCACAAAGCTTTTCCCCAAAATGAAAATCTGAGGGCTGCAACCAAATGCAAAAAATATAATTCATGAAATACAAATACTTCTTAAGTACAGTCCTTTATTTTAATGATTATGTGTACAAACTAATACTGAATCAGAATTTTATATATGTATATTTCTCATTCAACCACAGTTAAATTCACTCTATCTAGGAGGCACAGTTTATATGGATAGTACTTATTTTTTACAATAAGAAGCTGGAATGAAAACAAGCAAAAATGAACTAAAAGTAACAACTTTCTACTTCTTGCCTTTTTAAGGGTAGAAAGTACAGATAATTGTGTGAAAATGTAAGAAGTAGAAGTAAAAATTAGGCTGAAAAATAGTTACTCAAGTAAAGTACAGATACCCCAAAATTCTACTTAAGTACAGTTAAGAAATTTTTGTACTTGGTTACTTTACAACTCTGTTTGTACGTCCTACTATGTGATCTTTAGCTTTGTGAAAATGTCATTTGTGTCTGGTGTGAGTGTTGCTGCTGTGAGACTCTGTCCTACTGGCTGCGTATTACATTAGCGTGAAAAATACAACTTCAAAACTCCTCAAAAACATATTAGTCTACAGTTATTACACTCCAAGCACACACACTGATTGTAAACAATATATTTGTGATATATTGTGCAGACCTAAGTGCCACACACTAACACACAGCTAGACTGAAATTAATGACAGCTGTATGTTTTTCCAGTTCTGTTAGGCCACACACGAGTCCCGTTCCTGACCTTCAGTACGGATCTTTGTGGTGCTGCTGGGCCGGATCTTGTGACCATCCTTGTACCACTCCCCAGTCACATCCTCCAGAGAAACCTCACACATGAAGACAGCATTCTGTTCTTCCTGGATGTAAAGATCTTCTAGATCCTGCACCATCTCCAGCTCGTGCTCTGAAGGTAGGAGAGAAAATCCAAAGAAGATTTCTTCACATTGACCACTAGATGGACACATAGTATAAACTGGTTTCTGTTTGCTTCATTGGTAAGTTGCTCAACACTGAGTTCAGTTAAAACATGCATTCAAAATGTTTCTCTTTAAAGTATGAGGCTCAAACTCAGTTATTGAATAAAAAGGTTATGTAACAAGTTATTTATATATAAATAGTAAATGCCTATTCCAAATCATGTTTTGTCAAAAAAAATGTTAAGAAAGCAACACTAATGATGTGTCTTTAGAGATACATTTTATCACAATCCAGCAAATCAGGTAAAAACAGAAAACCCTCACTAACAATCCAATTGTTTGATGTTAAAATAATAATAATAAAAAAGAATACAGAAAAACATCAAGTTGATTCTCTGTTGCTCTTTCCACGTTATTATTAATTTTTCTTTAATTAAACCCCTTTTTTTTTGGCTTGAAGTTGGCCAGCAGTCCTGGGTAGAGTTAAGAAGCAACCCACAGTTACAAAAATACAGCAACAAAGAGAGAAACTATAAAACAATTTCACAATTAAAGCATTACCTTTTTGAGTACAAATTATGTGGTGCCGTTTGTAAAGTTACACAGTCAAAAATTACCACCAATATTCTTGCTTTATTTAGCTTTTTATAAGAGAAAAAGAACAGATTTATTTTTCAGTCAGTTTTTCACCATATGATTCATACATTTATAAATGTCATAGTTTATAAACTAAATATTTAACNTTATAAACTAAATATTCAACTTACAAATTAAATATTTAGTTAAGAAGCTAAATATTTAACTTGGGACTTACATAAATATTTAGTTTTGAGCAAAATATTTAGCTTTCAACTTAAATATTTAGCTAGCTACCTAAATATGTAACTTAAATATTTAGCTAGCTACCTAAATATTTAGGTTGCAACTTAAATATTTAGGTAGCTAGCTAAATATTTATCTTGCTAGCTAAATATTTAAGTTGCAAGCCAAATGTTGAATTTGCTAGCCAAATATTTAAGTTAAATATTTAGGTCGCTAGCTAAATATTTAAGTTTCAAGCTAAGTATTTAGCTCGAAACTAAATATTTAAGTTACAAGTTAAATATTTAACTTGTTAAATAAATATTTTATTTGTAAGTTAAATATTTAGTTTATAAACTATGACATTTATTATAAATCATATGTTCACCGAATCATATGGTGAAAAACTGACTTTGAAAAATAAATCTGTACTTTTTCTCTTTTAAAAGGCTAAATAAAACAAAAATATTGGTGGTAATTTCTGACTGTGTAACTTTACAAACGGCACCCCATAAATAAATGGTAACGAGGGTGAGATTTGGCCCATGGGCCTTGGGTTTGACAACATGTTTTGTATCATTAATTGTGATTTGTCTTTTTGGTTTTATTTTTGTATCTGAGTGAGAATCCTCTTTTGTCTTGCAAATGTAACCCATGCTGTCAGAATTAGGAGTTTTCTTAATATTCATTTCTTATTTTCAAATTCTTCTTCTGAAAAGCTTCAAAATGATGAGTAGTTTCTTGAAATTTGTTGATTTATCACATAGTGTGGCAGCAAGCTAGTTTTGTGTACCAGCGTGACTTTAATGAACTCAATTCTATTGGTCTCTTTAAAGTGATGTCATCAGGAAGTCCAGTACAGTCTGCTGTTTGGCACATGTTTTAAAGCATTAATTTAATATTTATTGTGAAAGTGTGTGTTTAGAAATTACCATAAACTTCCAGAGAACAGGAAGTATTGATTTCCCCCGTGTCACATTTGTAGACACCAGAATCTGCCCGGGTACACTGAAGAATCTGGCAGAACCGCTTTCGACCCGTAGAGTAGATCCGACAGTTCTTTCCTGGCTTCAGCTCGACCCCGTTCTGATTTATGGAGGAAATATAAGGATTTTATTTTGTGCTTGGAGTGCAAAAACAAACAAGAGCATGTTGACGTGTGCTTTACCTTAAACCATTTGACTTCCACAATTTGTCTGGAGAATTCACACTCCAGAGTGGCAGGAAATTCTTCCTCCACACGAACATCAGTTAGCGGTTTCAAGATAGACACAGGTGTTTCTGCAAGTTTAGTTAATCCAAATATTCAGTTAGTAAAGCATACAAATACTTAACTAAAGGCCCTGTCACACTATAACATCTAAAATTTTATTTATACAGTATAGCACTTTTCAGCAGCAGGGCGATAAAAAGTGCTCAGTGCTAAGTCTTAGATAACTTATGTTAAATTTAAAAATTGTTATGATTAAATTACTGATATAGGTCATATATTTGATCTAACCATTAGCATTATAGTATGTTTACGTACAAAAGAGGCCTCCAGTAGATTATTTTTATTCCTCGATCAGTGTTGGACAAAATTTTACAGAGGCAATATCATGTAAAACCAATTTTTTTAGTTTTATATCATGTTATAATGTTATACTCTCATTAAAAACATGCCCAAAGCCTTGGTTTGACTCATTCATGCATGTTTGAGAAATCCTGCAGTGTTTTTAGGAAGCCATGCTGAGGAG